TGTGCCCTGTCCCAGTTCCTTTCACTCTGCTTGTGAGCAAAAGGTTATTTTGGGGTATTTTTTATGTTGACTTGAACAGTCCAAGGGGTTTCTCCTTGGAGCTGCCACAAGAGAGCAGAGAGCTCATCTCTGGGTGGGATGGGGGAGACATGAGATGCTGCTGTAGGATGGCAGCAGTGAGGGTCCTGGTCCAGTTCCCTTCTGTCCCTGGAACTGTGCCACGGCTGGTGGGCTCTGTGCCATCCTGGTGTCACAGCAGCCTAAAAAAGTGGGAAATGAGGATGCCCAGGGTGTCACAGCTCTGCTCCAGGGCTCACCCCAGCACCTTCCCAGCATTTCTACAGAGCATGGGCTGGGAGAAGCCACTTGGCTGCTCTGGGCCTCTCCCCCAGCCCCCCACAGTCCCCACATCCCAGCGAGACCCTGAGCAGCAAAATAATCACTTCCAGCATCATTATCCATCACAAACCCCAGCTTCCAATTTTAATCAGAGGAGCTGGTGTTGCTTTAAGATCTGCGGGTTTTAAAGATCACAAGAGGGGTTAGAGAAAATTACCCTTGACTCTTACATGCTAATGTAATCTCTAACCAGATCTGCAGCACTGCAGCTAAAATTGCTTTTTAGATTAACATTTAATTATTAACAGGGCCCCCTGAAAGGCCCGGGGCTGGAGCACACGGAGGGGAGCGGATTAGCCGGGCGGGATGAGGGAAGGTCGGGCGAGGGAAGGTCGTGGGGTGACTGGCGGCACCTTTGGTGACAAACTTTGGGTTTTATTTTACCTGATGCTCCCCGTGGTTCACAGTGGGGTCACCTTTCTATGCTCACCCCTTGTAGGGCTGAGCTGTGGTGTTGCTGCATCCCCTCCACCCTAAATCTGGGTGGGAGATGGGTAATGGCAGTGCCAGGTAGCAGCACCAGCCAAAATCCTGCTCGCCCTACAGTGGGGTGGGAATCTGTTGTGTGCAGAGGGGAATCCTTCCTCCTCTGGCACACCCTCAGATGGGAAATCAGTGTCCGTGCGACCAGTGGTGGGGTGTGGTGACAGGGAGCTCTGATGTCCTCAGGGCTGTGAGGAAGAGGAGCTCCTTGGTGGTGTGGTTGGATTCTCCTCCATCCGTGAAGGGATGAGGGACCGGGGTGTTCCCAGTTGTATTTTGGGTGTGCTCTGCACACCAGGGGCCAGTGGGGGTTTTTGCTTTGTTTCTCTGGTTACTGCCAGCCTTGGCCTCGCCCCACGCTCTCCATGTGTTTGTCTGGCACTGTCAGGAGCCTCCCGTGCCTCTCCCAGCCGGAGTCACCCCTCACCTCCTGTCCTTGTGCCAAACCCAGTGCTGGCTTTTGATAGCCATGAGGGACATGGCCTTGGTATGACTCTTTGCAGCATCCCTGGTCCTGCCCCCATTTCCTCTCCTAACCCCAAAATCTCCCTTTTGATGGGCTTGCACCCTGATAACACCAGGGGAAGGATTTGGATGTGTTCCACCACAGCCTGGATGGTGTCCAAGACCTTGTCCCTCACCATCCCTGCCTTGCCACACAGACCCACATCAGGCTGAGACTTTAAAAGTTCCTTTTTTCTTTTCTTCCCCCTCCCGTCACATTTTCTTTTATCTAAATCCTCGCCTGCAAAAGCCTCTATCGACAGCTGCGCTGGCCTTATCTCGCAGGAGGGACCTTCGCAGGGCTCTCGGAGGAGATAAGCCCGATTTATCAGCTGCTGATGTCAGAGGAGGTGCCAAACCCTCCCATCACCGGGGCTTTAGACATAGAGGGTGGTGTTTTTTATTAAAGTCACAAAGACCTTGGGCTTATAAATAGTGTGGTGTCGAGATGGATTAGCTGGGTGTGGGGCAGGATGGAGTGGTGGGAGAGAGGAAGGAAGAGCTGTGGCTCCCCCATCCCTGGAAGTATTCAAGGGCAGGTTCCACAGGGCTTGGAGCAACCTGGTCTAGTGGGAGACATCCCTGTGCATGGCAGGGAGTGGGACAGAATGGGCTGTAATGTCCCAACCCAAAACATTCTGTGATTCTATGATGCCAGAGTTGTGGGATGTGGAGTTGGGGCTCCTGGGGGATCTTGCTCCAGATGTCCCCAAGGTTGTTGGTGGGACTCACTTTGCTGGATGATGGTGAGTCCACGTGCACAGCCTGGGCAGAGGCTGTGTGAACTCGGGGCGTTCCAGCAAAACTGCTGAGTGTTGCCTTCCCTGCCACGAAAGAGCCAGAGCAGCTTGAACTAAATCGGATCCTGCTGATTGGAATTAGTTCAAATGCAGATGGAGCTAACTAAGCCGGCGCTAAGCGTTGGACAGCCCAGCAGCGCCCAATTCCCATCAGCTGATTCAGGGGCTTTTCGGAGCGGCATTAGCGAAATGCCAGCATGGCACAGATGCCCATTGTGCCAGGCGCCCACCCGCTCGCCCACGGGCCCGCTGGGGCTCGGGGCTCGCGGCAGGGTGCCGGGGTGGACAGATGGACGCTGTCCTGGGGTTGTGGCACCAGAGCCTTCCCGGTTCTGAGCGTGCCTGTGAAGGTGGGGCGAGGTGCAGCGGAGCTGTCGGAAAAATCATCTGGGCTGCGAGACGCCGGGAGACGGGGGCAGCAGCAGGGTCTGAATTAATCTCTGGCTTTATTCGGTTTGGCGTGTGGCTCCCGCGCCTCTCCTGCCTGATGATCCCAGCCTGGGGTCGGGATGGCTCCAGGAGGGAGCTGGGCTCTGCAGAGAGCAGGGGTTGGGACAACCTGTGACAGTATGGGGGTGTCCCCAGGGACCTGCTGGAGCCTCAGCTCCCGTGACAGGCTGCATCCACACCCCACCCCGTGCCAGCACGTGGGTTTGGTGACATCCTGGGTGCTTCCTCCTCGCTCTCAGCCTCGCGTGTCCCAGGGCATCCAGCAGTGGCACGAGCCGCCCACGCCGCCCGTGTCTGCCGGGGACACAGGTCAGTGTCCCCGCCAGGAGCTGCCTCGGCGCGGGGAGCGGGTGACGTCCACCGCTAATCGTCCAGATGGTGACACCCGGCGGGACGCCAGCCCCGAGGTCACCGTGGAGATCAGGCTCAGGTACGGCAGGAGCCGGTGCCATCATCCATCTCCTGCACGGCCGTGGGTGCTTCGATCCAGGGCCACCCTTCAGGGACAGGCACAGAAATGGGGGTGAGGTCAGGGTGGCAGCTCCCATCATGGAAAATCCGGGCGCTGGGCACATTCCGGGGGAGCTGAGGCGCCGAGAGCGGGGCTGCGTAATGAACCCCGAGTCCCGGCGGGGAGAGGAGAACTCCTGGCAGTCAAGTGCGTTCAGGCTCTGAATAAGAAGCACTTCATTCTCTTTTCAAATTGTATAATTTCTGCCTGATTGTAATGGCATATTTTAAAATTACCAGAAATCGAAGCCAGAAAATGGATACGGCTGCTTTTTACTGCGAGCTGCGTTAACAAAGGATATGTAATGCATGAAATAAAAACACCTCCCTACCCCCCTCCTTTTTTTTTAAGACAGTAATAGGAGAAAATTGGTTTTGAAACTGAATAAAAGTCCCTTTCAGAGGAAATCATTTCTTTCAGGGTACCTTTGCTGAAAGTAAAATAGTGAATAATGAAAGGTGGTTACATGATTGTCTTTCATTTAGAGAGCGCGAGGACAGATGGAATCTGGGAGAAATGCACGATTGGAATAATTGCATGGTAACAAGGCGCTTGTTGTGAAATTAGTATCTTAAGAAAGTAGTGAAAAAGGCTTTTACTCATGAATACTTCATTATTAGGAGAAAACAGCACAATTTGGGTTCTCCAGACACCTGCTCGGTATTAGATGACTTCCTCCCCTCCTCCTCCTCCTCCTCCTCCTCTTCCTCACACCTTTTGCTGACAAATCTCTCCTTGTCGCTGGTTTGCTGGGGGAGTCAGGGTGAGACCCTGAGCCTGATGAGCCCAGCTGAGGCATGGACAGCCTGTGTGGATCCCATCCTGAATTATCCCAGAGCCTGGCACCCCCTGCCTGGTGGAGGGCACGGGGCAGGAGCGAGCAGCCCAGGTCCTGTTGTGTGCGCCCATGGTGGATACGAAGGTGTTTTGAAGGGTGACATTTAAACCAGCAGAGCTTGGAGAGCCCCAGGCACGGCTCGGGGAGCATCAATCCATGCTTTGTTTCCTGGTGCTGATGGTCACAGGCTCTGCCAGAGGCCACCACGTGCCTGAGGCCACCACGTCACTCCTCTGCACGCCGGTGCCAGCACTGGGACATGTGGGAAACATCCCGGATGGCTGCAGGTGGGCACGATTCCCCCACAACGGAGAAGATGGAGTGATGTTCCCAGCAGTGACGCCCATCCATGATGTCCAGCTGTGACCCCCAGCCATCCATAAACCTTCAGCCAGAGAGCAGCAGCGCAGGAGCTGAAATGCTGGCAGATGGGCACCACGCCTGCTTTTCTGCTGCTCCTGCCCACGTCTCCCTGCCCTCTCCGAGTGGGAATATCACTCCCTGCGCCAGCTGGAGCAGTGGGAGGGTGTCAGCAGCAACTGGTTATAACTCGGGGCCCCGGCGGCGGCTGGGGAAGGATGTACAATGAGCAGCACCGCGGCGGCAGCGACTTTGGCCTGACCCCTCCAGCTTTTGTCGAGCAGATTTTGATGCCAGCTGGGAGCTGGCGACAGATCCCAGGACCCCGAGTGAGATGTTAACGCTGTCTTTCCCCAGCCTTGGCCGGGGTCACTCCCGGCTGGCACGCCGGCAGAGCGGTCTGGCACCGCCGCCACGCCCCGGCTCTGCCACATTCCCGGTGGGAAGGGTGGAAAGCTCTGCAGGAAGCACAAATCACCTGCTGAGACCTTCATCTTTATTTTATATACATCCCTATTCATTCCAGGCTTTCAGAGTTAGTTGTTTATCTCCGGAGGAGCGAAGGCACTGAGTGCTGGGGAGCTCCTGCCGGGTGGGCACCGGGGTGGTGGCAGCGGGTGGCAGGTCCCTGGCTCACCGTGTGTCTCCTCTCTCACAGGGCACGGGGTGGCAACGCCCGCAGGGAAGCCTGGACCATGCTGGCCTGCCTGCAGAGGACCCAGAACCCCCCAGCCCAGCACCTCCCCTGCCCCAGCAAGGCGCTGGAGCCACGCAAGTGTAAGTGCCCGGGGGCGGGCGCCCGCTTTGATGCTGTTTCCCTTATTGAAAAAGACATTTATTTAACCGATAATTAAAAAGAGCAGGAGAAGCGGGGAGGAGAGGGGGAGGAAGGAGCCAAGATAAGCAAATTAAATTGGGTTCTGTGGTTGATAAGTCCAACTTCAGCAAATGTTGCAGAGCTGCCTGGGAAGCGTGGCGGCAGCAGAGGATGGTGCAGTCGGCCCCCCAAACCTCCCCGGCCCTTCCCCCCCTAATTACTTTCCCCGTTTGTGCTGCAGCTCGCCTTCCCCAGGAGCTGGCCTTTCAGATAAGCTGTAAACTAGTTACATTAAAATGGGATCCAAAAGGTCACTCCAGCAAAGCACCTGTCTCTCCCAGCCTTTGTCTCTCAATCCAAACCGTGATTAAATGTATATTTAATGAGCCTGCTTTAGGCAGGCGTGTTTGACCTCCCCGGCTGGGAAAGACGCATTAAGATTCTCAAGTGATGAATGTGTGTTTTAAAGAGGGGAGTGGATATTTTTCTGCTGGTCTCAGTTGGATTTTTAAACATTGCCGGCTGAAGACAAATCAGCTGCTAAAGCTCTGCTTGTTAGGCTGTGACAGCCCCCGGGTGTTTGTTTAATGAGCTGGATTTTCCTTTTTTTTTTCCCCTCTACCTGGGCACCCTGAGCAGCCAGGTGAGCTGGACATGGGGTTTGGGCAAGCTGGGCATGGATTTTGGATGATGCTCAGCCTCCCTGGGGACTCCAGCATCGTTTCAGCATTGCACTGCCAGTCAGGAGGGTTATTTATCCCTGGAAGTTCTTTTATCCCTGAAACTTATCCCTGGAAGTGTTCATGGCCATGTTGGACAGGGCTTGGAGCAGAAGGTGTGCCTGCCCATGGCAGGGTGGGGGAAGTGGGTGATCTTTATGGTTACTTCCAACACAAACCATTCTGGATTCCGTGATTTTTTGTGTGAAGCACAGGGAATAGGACACCCAGACCAGAGGTGGGGTTTTGGTCACAGGTGTCACAGTGCAGCTTGCACTGCACTGGAGCCTGCTGTGCCTCCCAGGTCTCCTCCTTAATGGTGTCTGGAAGGAAAAAGGATGCTGCTCTTGTAAAATTATTTGTAATCCATCACACCTGAGCATCGCGGCGGTGCAGGGCTGGCCAGGGGTGTCCAGCTCCTGGAGCACCTCGTTGCCATGGAATAATGAGCTCAGCCATGCCCACATGATCTGAGACCCACGGGCAGGATGAGCCTGACGGGGTTTTCTGGAGACTGGAGGTGTTCAGTCAGCATCGAGAATCTCTGTGTGAGCTCGTTGTGATCCTGAGGTCAGGATACACCTGCTGGTCCCCATAGCATTCCCTGGATGCAGCTCAGAGCTAAGGACCGTCTCAGCTCATGGAACAAAGCCCAGAAGCACCTTTCTGCTGGAGGCCTGGTGCTTTTTACCATTTCCACCCTGCCATAGGTGCTGAAATAAGAAGGTTTGGGAAGCAGGAGCCCTTATGTGGTGTCACATATGGTGCCGTGGGTGTGAGAGATGCAGATACAGCTGTATCCTCCTGGATAGAGCTGCCTGTGTCTTGGGAAGGTCCCAGCCCCAGGGTCCCAGTGGTCCTGGAGTTGTGCCAGTGGGATGAGGGCAGAGTTTAACCCCAGCCCCAGACCCTGGCAGTGTGGGGTTCCCAGGAGACAGAGTTTTTGACTGGTCTCAGGCAGGGACTTTACTCACCTGAGATCTCCAAGGGACTCGTGTCCCCTGGGATGGGTGGCACAGCCAAGCTCCTGCCCAGACCCCCATGCCACGCTCTCCACCCCCTGCCACCAGCCAGGTCACCTTAATCAAAGTTTAGCTGCCCGTGTGTTTCCGCTCATTACGGGCAAATCCGGCACGTCTCGCTCCTCTCTGCCTCCTGCCAGCGCAAATTAAATTGCAGGTGACATCCAGGGCCACGCATCTGGCTTGGAGCACAATTTTCCCTTCCTTATTTATGGCACCTGTGGGAAGCACGGCGGAGGGGCCGGGAGCTGCCGCCGCCACCGGAGTGCCCGCGTGGGGAATCGGCGCGGAGAGCGCACTCTTCAAACCAGGCGCAATTTAGAAGTGCCTCTGATTACTTAATTTGCTCCTGAGTATCTCAGTAATTATCTTTATGGGTCTTATTTCTGTCCTCTGGCATTGTTTCTGTCGATATTAAATGAGTCTGGCTCTCGGCACATTGGCCGTCTGGCCCGGCACCACTGTGAAATCCTATTATCCTGTTCGTGCTGCTGATTAATTTTGGTATTAATTTCACGTAAAAGGTGAGCTGACTCATTTTCCTGCCCGTGCAGGGAGCTGCTGGCACCTTCACCCCCCAGGCCTGCCCCTGGCCTTTCCTGCTGTTTGTTGTCCCCCCATCTCTGTGCCCCCCACATTGGTGTGGCTGCATCCCAGCGGGCCCGGAGCATCCCAAAAATCCATCCTGACAGAGCTGGAGGTGACTTTGCTGCTGTTGCCAGCAGTATTCCCAAGGCTGTTCCATAGGAACCAGCCTGGCATGCCTTGAAGAGGATGCAGGAAGGTGCCAGAGCCCTTCCAGCCCTGCCTGTGCCTCCCTCCTCCAGCAGAGGAGCAGAAGCCTGCAGAGCAGCAGCATCCTCAGGAAAATATCACGTCCAATTAACTCCAGCAGCCTGGTCCCTTTTGATTTTATCCGGGGCGCATTACAGGAATCCTGAGCTTTATTTAAATTATAAATCAAATAATGCCCCTCTCAGCTTGGCCAAACTCTTTGCTGCTCCCACTCTCAAGCAGTCACGGAGCACTGGATGATATTTAATGAAATATTAACTTTCCACATGCCCTCCTCCAGCCAGCCTGGGGCTGGGAGTGTGGCAGGGAGCAGGATGTGTCCCCCTAAAGGGGCTGGGAGCCACGGAGAGTTCACAGAGGTGAACCTCATGAGCATGCAAGAAAGATAGAGAGGGCTTATTTACAAGACCGTGGAATGGCAGGATGAGTGGGAATGGCCTCACACTGCCAGAGGGAAGGGATACATGGGTTTTTGGGAAAAAATTCTTCCCTGTGAGGGAGGTGAGGTCTTGGCACAGGGTGCCCAGAGCAGCTGTGGCTGCCCCATCCCTGGAAGTGTCCAAGGCCAGGTTGGATGGGGCTTGGAGCTACCTGGGATAGTGGGAGGTGTCCCTGCCTGTGGCTTTGGGTGGCACTGGATGGGCTTTAAGATCCCTGCAACCCAAACCAGCCTGGGGATTCTTTCACCACCCACATCCTGAGGGTCCCATGGGAGCTGCCACCTCAGCCCCACGGGGACAGTGTGATAAATGGCTCTTTGGGGGTGGCACAAACCCTTTTGGGGCCCATCTGGGTATTGAAACAGCCACGAGGGGATGGCCCTAATGAGAGGTGATGGCCAGGGCTCCCTGCCAAGGACTCAGCTCCAGGGTCACCCACAGCTCTGCTTGCACCTGTGGGGACTCTCATCAGTGATAAACCCCTTAATTGCACACGGGATGAGGCTCCATTTAATGTCCTCTCGTTACCCAATTCTGCTTGTTCCAAGGGCATTTTCATTAGAGTGGCTGCAGCGAGGCTTTGCTTTTGTACACACCCATAAAATATCATTTTAATTTCATGAGGGGTTACACATGAGTGAAGTAAGATTAATTCTTTCATTTTCAGTTTCTGGAAGGGATCGGTTAATGATGGTTCTGTGTATTTATATACGTGCCATAAAAAGGAGTTCAATTAACTGCTGGGCCCAAAATGTGCTGTTGACTTTGCACTTTCCCTGCCAGGAATTGCTGCAAAAACACTTTTCCATCGGTCATGTGTGGGGATGGAGGGTGAGGTGGGGCTGCTCAGTGCCCATCTCCTGCCGGGTCAGAGCCCTGGCTTTGGGGTGGGCTTGGTTGGTAATGGTGCAGCGCAGGAGGAGGTTTGGTTTGTGTCCAAATTTCCCAGGACTGTGATGGTCCATTGGCCACTGAGCAGCGTCCTGGGCACTGGCAGACCCCAGGATGGGGCACCCTGCTTTGGAGGTGCTCACCCTACTCCCCTTGGCAGGTACAGAACCCGTGTGTTAAATTAATTCAAATATTAATTGGCTGTGGATGAGTGAGCAGAGGGGGCAGCTGGGTGAACTGCAGGGCCAACAGAGGTGGTGGAATCTCAGAGTCTCTTGGAGGCTCTGTGGTGAAATGGCATCAGAACTTCTGAAAGGTGGCACTGGGACAGCACTGGGGTGGTGCTTGTGTTGGGGTGGCCTCAGGGCTGTGCTTGGTCACTGTTGGGTGACATATAGGGTGACATTAGGGCAGTATTATGGCAGCATCATGGTGGTGCTGAGGTGGCATGACATTTCCCCCCTCACACAGCCCCCTGAATATCAGGCTAGCCCAGAGGTCTGAGGCTGTGAGGGGAGGAATATCAGGAGATGGCAAAGATTTCCAAAAGAGGCTCTTACCCCGATATGTTGGTTCAGCTTTTTTTATTCTGTGGAGAGCGGAGCAAATGAATGAACAGGAAATGTCAGGGGTCTGTACAGACTTTGGACAGGGTGGGCTTCCCTGGCTCTCCACCAACCCTGTCGGGGCAGGAAGGAGGGTCCAGGGTTATCTGATCAGAGTCACAGGGTCCTGGGGAAGGGGAAATAGAGTGCCCTGTAACACCAGCACTTGAGTATCGTGATGGTGGCACCTGGGTGGCATTGGGGTGACACCGGGCTGAGAGCGGAACAGCATCAGCCCGGCTTTGGGGTGGCACCAGGGCATCCTGGCGCGGTGGCACGGTGGCTGTGGTGGCACAGAGCACGGTGCCTGTGCCGGGCTAATACCTCGTGGAGGAGACAAATGGGAAGTGACACGTGTGTGTGTAGACGGGTATTTGCGGTGACGCTTTGACTGCAGATAATAAAGTGCTCGCCCCGAGGTGATCCAATTCAGCAGCCGCCTCGGCAGAGCCGCGCGCGCGACGAGGGGGAGAAGAAAGGGGAGGAAG